TGCAGTCTTGTCATCCACTTACCAGTCTTGTCATCCCTTCGCCTTCTTCAGGTCTTTGCTCAAATGTCACCTTCTCAGTGAGGCTTCCCCTAACTACTCCATTTAAAATCTATAACTCCTGGGGCACCTGGGTGGCTCAGTCGGTTGAGCATCCGACCCGACTTCAGCGCCGGTCATGATCTCACAGCTCATGAGCTCGAGCCCCACATCAGGCTCTGTGCTGAGAGCTCAGAGCCTGGAGCCTGCTTTGGATTCTGTGTCTCCCTCTCTCTCTCCCTCCTCTGCTCGCACTCTGTCTCCCTCTCTCTTTCTCAAAAGTAAACATTAAAAAATTAAAAAAAAAAAAATCGTAACTCCTGATCCCAGCTTTAATTTTCTGCATCTATCACCACCTGACAGGCCATGTGTTTGATTTATTTGTCCATCCCCCCCGCCCCCCAGCAGAGGGAAGGGAGTGTGGCTTACCTAGTTCTCTGGCTGCAGCACCTACGACAGAGCCTGGCTAAACAGCAATCCAGAGCTCACGAAGGAACAAACTCCCCCACCAGGGCCCGGCCCGCGAATAGCATCTCTGCAGCTACCACCCAATGCCAAAGATGCCACGGGAGATTTTGTCAGAGACCAGCTGGCGCTTCTCAGCTGCTCGGGGGGTGACGGGAGCCCGCTGAGGTGCCCCATGAAGGAGGCAGCGTCCCTAGGACCCGTTCCGCGCCTCCCCGACGCGCCTGCAGAAAACCACACCGTGGGTACCTGTAGACGCTTATCCGTTCTGTCACACCTCTCGAGCCCTCTTCTAGGGAGGCTGGGCTGGGTGACACTGCTGGTTGGGACATAAGGAAGATATCTCAGAAGTCGGGTAAGAACTAGGTCGTTCCCCAGGACCCCTGAAATGCTGTGTAAAGGACGAAGCCGACAGGTGACAGGAGACTTGGCCACATGTGGCCTGAACATGACTCTCAGCCGGGCTCAGCTCATATGACTTAGAGCTGTTCCCCGCCCAGGTCATCTGTACCTTCCTGGGGCCGGGACGCTGCAGCTCAGCCGTGTTGAGAGGCTTCGCCCCCCCCAGGCCGGACAGAAGCCCTCTGCCCTGTGCTCACTCCACCGAAAGAAGGGATGCCTGGCGTGGGGGGCGGGGCTTGGCCAGCACGCTGCGAATTCGGCCTGCTGGAAATTCGAGGACGTTCCCAAGCTGGAGGCGGCAGAAGATTCCTTTTAACACAAGTGTTAAAAGTACAGAGGTGTCAGAGAACTTGGTTTTGAGTTCCAGCACCGCCACCAAGTAGCTGGATTATCTTGGGCAATCAATCTCTTTACCTCTCTGAGCCTCGGTTTCCTTATCTGTAAAATGGGATAACAAACATTCTGTGCTTCGCTGGGCGGTTGTCAGGATTAAGCTAGATGATTCGTACGTGCTGAACCCCGTGCCTGGCACCTGGTGAGGGCTCATGACGCGTTAGACCTTGCTGCCCCTGCAATCGTAAAGTAAAGGGAGGAAGGATGTCGACCCCTAGCCACTTGCTCAGGCTGGCCACAGACCTCCAAGGTTATCAGAGTCCCGAGGTGGCTGAATTTGCTAGTAATTAAGGTACTAGAAAGACCTTTCTCCTCTGGGTTTCAGAATGGTGCTCAAGAAAAACAAGCTTGGACACAAAGTTCTCAGTGACCATGGGAATTATTCCAAAGAGGGGCTGGCCGGGCTAAATGTGTGACTCTGGAAGAGAAGGAAAAGGGGCCCCAAAGCCACTAAATCCCTGAGTTTATAATTAACAGCCACACAGTCTCTTTGCTGGCTCTGGAGCCCTCGTGGCTCACTGGGGAAGGGCACTAGTAGTCATACAAAAATAACCCCCCAGTGGGTTTTTGAAGTGTTGAGCCTCTTTGTTTTACTGAATTTTAATGAAGGGCTTTCCAGGCTGGATGAGAGCAGCACTCGAGCTCCCCGTGGCTGTGGCCGAGGAGCGGGGCTTAGTCAGCGGCTGCCAGCCTGCATGGGCCTGATCCAAGGTGGCATCTAGGGGAGGCGGGCAGGGAGACGTCCCTGTCCTCAGATGAGAGGTCTTGGGGGAGAAAGAGAGAAAAACAAAAACAAAAGATGTCTCTGTTTAGAAAGAGGGCTGGGCTCTGCTCCAGATGTCGGCATGGTTTGCAAACAGGCAGCGATGATGCTTTGGGGGGCAGTGGAGACGAGCGGCTAGTATCTGAAAGGTCAGAGGGGGTCCCAGTCTCCCCGAGAGAGAGCATTCTGTGGGATGCTCGGAGCGGGCAAGCCGGCCGCTTCTAATGAGAGCTAGCATCGAGGCTCTGGGAGCCCGTGGCGGAAAGGAAGGGCGTGCCTGGGGAGCCCTGGGCTTGGGCTGCAAGAAGAAAGGAGAAAGGGGGGGTGCTGTGAGAATAGCTCCCAAGTCCCGCTGTGAGGAATGGTTCGCCTTAGCGTGCCCCCTTTTTGCCGTCTCCTCAGCCAAGCTGCCCGACAGCATGAAGGAGACAGTAAAATTTCACTAACATAACTGAACATCCGCAGTAAGAAAGGCGTCCTGCCAGGCCCTCCCCGGACCCCGGCGGGTAGCGGCTTGCAGCCTCCCATACCCCTGCTTCCAGGTGCTTCCAAGTAGACAGGTGCTCCCGGGAAATGCTGTGGCCTCTGTGAACCGAACACTTTCTAGAAGGGGTGCCATTCCTCTCCCCCTGAGTCTAGCTTTCCCTCATGCTCTTCAACAGCGGGGAGCAAACCCGTCAGACTGTTTAAAAGCTGCCCTCCTCCACTCTTGACGAATCTTTCCAAGAGGCTGCTGGAAAGAAAAGGAAGAGATGGCCACAGCATAAAGCAATTTATTACACTTGAATGATCCAACATGGTCTACTGAAAATAAGCATTTTTATTACAAAATATTCCATACAAAAATGCTAAGCTACCGGCAAGCTTCTTCAGCTGTAGGCTTATCGCGTTTTTTCAAGTCCGAAGCAGAAATTACTCTGTGCGGGGACAGCAGTCTGCTGACCGCCGAGGGCTCAGGTGTGCGTGGGCTGTCCCACGGGGTCCTCCTTCTCCGCCTGCAGCAGGTCCCATTCGGTGAGGAGCTCTGAGGACACCTCGGTGTACAGACGGTCCCAGTCCCAGCTGACGTCATCCTGCCCGGAGAGGCAGCGCTGGGTAAGATGGGCCTTTCCCCGCGGTCACAGCCGACCTCCCCCACCCTTCGGCCTCGG